AACCTTTCTCCCAACACATGTAATCACTACATGCTTTGCCGACTATGCAACTAGTACATCCGGTGCGATTCGGCTAGCTTTCGACCTCCTCCCCCTGGCCTCAAGTAAAGCTTTGGCGAGACCGAAGTGTGGCAATCGCACCATGCCTTTGGCATCCAGATCCAGCAGAGCTGCATTGATTGCTGCTTTTGGATGCTTTCGGATTGATTGCTTCTGTTGCTGCATGGCTTGCACAAACACAACCGAAGAGGGCAGTGTTTTGGTTGTGGTCGAGAAACGCCCCAACTGGACACACCTCATGTAGCTCGAACCAAAGCATTATACACCCTTTTTCTGTGTCAATTCGGTCCATCCACCATCCATGTCCATGATTTGTCTCCAGATACGCCCCCGGCAGGATGTATCCACTAGGAGTTTCCATGGACTTTCGAGATGAGGAAGAACTGTGACAAGAGAGCTGGGCCACAACGCTGGCTGCAAGATGGAGACAGAGGAAAGCGGGCGGGTTGCACTTGGACCAAAAGTTTGCATGTTTGGAACCTGACGAAAGATTATCTTTGCACTGGTCCGCGAAACTCATGGAACCGATATCTCTCAATCTGCAGTTCATCCCTGTCGGAAGCAGTTTTCTTGGCCCCAAAGATTTCCCGGCTTACAGAGAGTGTCAGAGGTGCTTTAGCGTAGCAATTCTGTACGTGTAGCGCCTGGTTGACCCCCATGAAAGCTGGCCAGCATATTGGGCGAGGGATTCCCTTCATTTCGACCGCTTCAGCTGGCCCTGCGGTGCAGCGGCGGACGACGGAGCCCTTGGTGCCGAGGTGAGGACAGTCGGACGGAGCCGGAGAAACGGAAAATGTGTGGTTTGACGCCCAGTCACCATAACATACCACAACTCCTCATCTCTTCATTGGGATAATGCAGTAAAAATGTGTGACTCTGAGAATAGATGAAAAGAAGTGTCATTAATTAGAAAATGTGCATAGTTGATGGCACCGTGAACGATCCAAAGAGCTTGTTGCCAGAGGACAAAAGCAGCAGCGGCTGAAGAAATTCCGTGAAGCAGTGCTGAAGCATCCTGAAGCAGGATCTGTTCAGATTCGGTCATTAGAGATGTGCATCGTCCACCTGACACAATATGTGTACAGTGCACGGGAAGATGTCGTGCTTCTACTGGTAAAAGGAGCTAAGAAGCCGTTTCAAGCTTGTACCACAACCAAATCCGCCGTTCTATTTGCAGCTGGTTGATTTGCCAATGGATAGTTCTTAATCCTGAAACTGGCGCCGTGAAGCTTTTCGACCCAGTTGCAAAGCATATCGCATCACAAGAAAAGGCGTCAGCTCGTCACAGAGGCCCTCAAAGGAGATGGCAATTTGCCTTCAAGGTTCACTTCATGTGGGGTTGAAGCCACAGTTTGTTCTCCGTGTATCATATGAGGTTCAAACGTTTATAAACTTGAAGAAAAGGATGTGCGACGATAGGCGAGGTGCTTAGGTGTTCCATGGTGTTCGTTGTACTCACTTAATTTGCCAAAGGTTGCAGAGATTCCGGTGGCTTCAGGTGGCAAAGGTGGCTGCTTTGGCTTCAGGTGGCAAAGCATAGTCCAGCCCACGCAAAATGAGGAAAAGCATGCCTTTTCACATATTGATTTGCTTGTTCATTGAGTTGGAGCTATGAAAGATGTCATCAGACATGTCAAAAGATGCCAAAAGCATTCACAACCTGAAGCCTTCTTTCTAGCATGTTGCGCGTGTTGCACAACAAGCTACCAACGTCCATCTTCTTCAACGTCAGTGACGGCGTTGGACCCACCAGCCTGACAGCGTTGTATGGCGGCCAACGCATCCACTTTAGAACAGGAGCTATATTCCACCGTGGGGGACAAGCAGGCGGGATACATGCCGGTTGTTGTAGACACATCAACCAAACATGCTGCAACCCCGAATGCTCAAATTCCCAGACTATGTTGGGCCAACTGGATTGCCCCGGGCAATCCCCAGGGTTTAGAGGTATTTGGAGCCAAGAGTCTTGAGGGCTTTGGTTTGTTGGAAGGAAAAGTAGGCAAGCCAGCCTGACTCAAACAAGGTCATTGCCTTTTTTTCACACCATACGTAAGTGAGTTGGTGTACCAATGCTGTTTAGTTGCTCCTAGTGAATGTAGGGGACCAATCATGACCAATGATTCCGAATCAAAACCTCAAACATGTTCGGACCCGTGCTCCCAGTTTGTGACCTCCTACACTGGGGCGCGTGAGGGATGATGAAAGTCGTGCGCCCATGTATGGGCTTATATCCTTGAGGACAATCACTCAACCAAAACCTGCTGAGTGAACAAAAAGATATGTTTGTTGGAGAGTGCCCTCACCACTTTGTCCTCTCTTTCAAGCGAATAGACTTACAAGAAGATTCGCCCGAAGCGGCAACGAAAGAGCAGACGGATCGACGGCGCTTCGTCCAGGTCTTCCTGGTGCGGCTCCGGCAGCTCCGCTCAGAGGTGCGTCTGGTGGAAGCGAGCCTGGAGGTGCCGGAGGGGCCGCGAGAGAGCGACCAAAACAAGTCCCGAGAACGAGTCCAAGTCATGAAAGGATGGTTGAAATGGTTTCTCTTGGCCTGCTTTGTTCCGCCTCCCTTCTTAATTAGGTAAGGGAGTAAGCTACTAGGCTAAGTTAGCTTCTAGGTAGGACGCAGGATAGCTGACACTTCTACAAGGAAGTTCCCCCGCCTTAGGGCAGGGTGTTCCTTGAAAAGCGCTTGCACGAATGATTTGGTTTCTAGAATCTAGAAATAGGGAAACTTAACTTAACTTAGTAGGGAGTTGGGTGGGGACTTTTTGTGATGAGCCCCCTGGGGGGTTGGGACATGTCGGGATATGATGTTAGCCTCACCAAGTTGCATGGCTGTGGTGAATGTGAGATGTTTGCTTTTTTGCCCGACAAACAAACTTCCAAACAAAAGGGTCAGTCAACAGTGATGGGAGGGCTAAGATGGCCGAGAGCAGGCACCAGGATACTCAATGACCCAATACCACTTATGCTAGGTCTCTCTATATCCAGTTGGGTGGCATGTTCATTTCATAGCATTTCTGTGTTCGAAGGTCAGTGCCAATACAATCTTTGCTCGCTTTGCACCACCACACACCATCACAATGCAGACCAATCTGGTAGATGACTGGCTTGAAGCCCCCTTGTGTGAATCGCATCCACTTTTGTGCGGTGTATAGCAGGCGTTGCAGCAGAAGGAGGACTGGCTTACACGTGAATTGGTCGGCTGAGCCCGGGGTTGATGGGACCAGCTGCTGCGGACATCTGACACCGAGCAGATTCAATGGCAAGGGGATGTTTGTTTGTTTGCGACTGGAACAGTTAGGGTTTGAAGGAAGCATGTTGTGTTGTTAAGTAGAAAAAATGAAGGTGCATGAAGACGCAGCCTTGGAGCTTCTTTCTGGGAAGCTCGAGAAGCATCATGGAAAATCATAGGAGTTTCTTTCCAAGCTTCCAGTGCCTCTCGCAGCACCGGATCCAAAGGCCAAACGCTCCTCGGCGCGTGAAGACTTGCCGTCTGTGGACGACTTTCTCGAAGGCCAGGTTCTCCTCATTGGCACCTGGAGGCCCCCCAAGCCTTTGGGCGTGAGCTGTTCCAGGCTGTATCCATCCCCAATCAAGCACAAGCATCCCGAGACCTTATTTGTTTTATTTGTATACAATTTTGACTTGGCTGCTGCTACTCTCTGTCAAACATCAATGAACATCATAGAAACAGGTGTCTTTAAGAACTTTCTGCTTCACAGGGACCGGCATTCTACGTAGTGCGAGACACCTCACTCCGTGGAAGCTAGATGCCATCTATTGCAAGGTCGCAAAAAAACTTTGTGAAAAGAGTGATCAAATAGCAAAACACATAAAGATACTATTACCATTCCCTCCATTGAACACATTGAAGGGGAGAGAGAGCACTGGCAGAAGAATCCTGACCCTGACAGCCATCACTGGGGCTTCTTGCGTCGAGAAGGTGCTCAAAAACCATCACTGCACAGGTAAGGCCAGTGCTGAAGGCACTCGCTTTTTCGAGCTGGAAGACCCTGCTGAGGACAGGAGTAGGCTCAGTGAGTGGCGCCCGGCCATACCGATAATCGAGGGTGAAGCCCCCACCCCACTTGCGCAGATGTAGATCTGACAGTACTGGAGAGGCTTCAGGCTTATCATGAAAGCTAGCTAGCTGGAGTTACTCTTTCGTTAGCAAGTTTTTTGCTGTGGGATGGAATGCCCTACCCTGTGAATAATTCATGCGTAGGCCCCACCCCCGCGTGTTCAACTCCCCTTTCATCTTCATGGATACCAGCTTTGCCTGGAATGGAGAGCAGCACATGCACATGGTTTGGCTGTTTTGTTTCAAGCCATGCTAGCTTTTGTCACCAACCCCCGGCCTCAATTATAATGTGGCGGTGAGGAGTGGCGAGGAAGCTTCGGAGGAGATGTAGCTCGAGGGGGCCAGTATTGAAGTTCGGAAGTATGTACCCAAATTCTTAGCGTGATGGCTCAATCACCAGTAAGATTACACGAGTCCTTGGTTACAACAAGGGGGACTTGTTTCGTGTTTCTCCCAACCTTAGGCTTCCCCAATGGATTCGGTGGACGTCGTCAAGGCGTGTGCTGCACTCACCACGCCCACAACAGTAGCGCCTGCCAGGACGGCGATCAGGACGAACACTCCCAGGCGAGAAGGAGATGAGCTCTCTGAGCTTTGGTAGAAGACACGAAATACAGAGCTGACGTGTCTTCCCTAGGCAAAGAATCGGAAGGTCTCTTGTGGGAGAAAAAACAATGTACCAGCATAGTCCCCAAACAGTTTCAGCAGGATTCTTTTGCATCACTTCCTTGAATTCCAACGTTGGTGGAAACGTCTCGAATTATTTTCCTATAGCCTGCAGCTACTTGAGAACAGCATGTATACAAGAAACGATGTTGTGGGAATGGAATGATGTCAAATTTAGACACTGCATCACGGTTGCATTCATACCCACAAAGAAACCCAACCGGATAAGGCGGCGGCGGAGAAAGGCAAAATGGTGTGACCAAGCAGGACACAAGGCCCGGACAAGGTGGTGATAAGAGGGCCGACAACACGGACAAGCACGACACACGTTCCGGACAAGGCCTGGACAAGGCCACGGTGCGGCCAAGCAGGACAGACATACTTGGATAAAGCCTGGATGAGGCCCAGACAAGGCGGTGGTTATAAGGACTCCTGACAACGCGGATAGGCAGGACACACAGACTTGGACAAGGCCCGGACAAGGCGAAGAAGGCAGGAGACAAGGGCTGGACAAGGCCCACAAAAGGCGGAGAAGACAAGGCCCACAGCGTGGCCAAGCAGGGGACACAGACACGGATAAAACCTAAAAAGGGCGGACAGTGTGGCCAGGGCTTTCTATCGCGGCCAGCCTGTTTCTTTGAGAAAGCACTCCAAAGCAAAACTGCGTAGCAAGGAAGAGCTCGAGTATCACATTGACTCTGTGAGGAGACACTCTCAGAGTCTCTATCACTCAAGGTAGGTGTATGAACCATGAACCAACTGAGTGCACCAAGTGGATTAGCAGGTTCGTAGGTTCGGATATCAAGGGAATGGAGCACTTCTTCAAACCGGATCGGAGGCAGATGACTGGGAGAGACTATTGGACGCCATGGGTGTAGCAAGGCGTGGAATCACAGCCCGGCGGGCTTTGGGATGTCCCCGAATGGCATAGCTTCCGAGGATCAAGCAGAGGCTGAAGCCAGACACTATCATATATCAAACATAACCCATGAAGATCCAGTGGGAGCACATTGCCTTGCAAAGAAGAAACCTTTGTTGTAAGCGAAGTCCGAGTGAGATGTGTTTTGGGTGCATAGAAACGATCTCGAAAATAGATGTCATTGAAACTCAGCAATATAGCACAACTCTCTCATTTTCTCACTATAGGGCATCGTACGACTGAGTTTCATATGATCTTCGTAAGAACAACAGTGAAAAATTGGGTCATGGAAAACGCCGTGGTTCTCAAGTGGCGCAGGTGCGGCTCCTGTGGCACAAGACTTCCTTTGGATGCCGGGTCCGTCAGTCGACTCCTGGAGGGATCCAGCAAACTCCCTGAGTCAGGGAGATGCGGTCGCATGGAAGAGATGGACGAGACGATTGGTTTGTTGCGACCGATGGTTGACTCACATGGAGGGACCACACTGAACAGCCAGACATAGAGGGAAAGAGGGAGGGAAGGAGGGAGGAACATGGCGGTTTGTGAACCCAAGGTTCTTTGAAATGTCCTTAAGACGATGACAGAACGCAAAGAATGGTGTCATCGGCATTATCCGATGTTTTTGGTCAGTTTGTTCCAGTCCACTGTCCGATAAAGAGTTTTTGAAGCAAGTTACAGCAAGGGTACCTTACAGGGGTAGGGATGCACCGAAGTTACCCTTGACCGCCCTACATTGGGCACCATGGTTTGCCTTCGTCAACAGATGGCCTATTTGTTGTGAACCGCAGGTTGTTTCGACGTTGGTTTGGGCACACCAAGCTGTTGACACCAAGAAAATGATCCCGTACCTTTTGCCTGAGTATCGACAGCCTTTTGCACCTGACACAAAAGAATCATGCAACATGCGAGTTCTTCAAGAATGGTTTCATTGCAAAACAAAGGCTCCAGCCAGCCTCCTAGTGTGCCTATTATATATATATAACTTATAACTATATATATATATATGTGCTTTACTCTTTCCTGGAAACACGACTGCATTAGATGCACGATTGTATTGGAACACTAAATGACTTGGCACTCACAAGGCCAAAAGGATAGCAAAGCCTTGAGGAGAGCTCAACAACGCAAGGGAGCCTTCATTGGCCCTAATGGAGTGGATCCAATGACATAGGGAAATCCAAGGACCCCACCAAACTGAACAACACAGCTGGTAAAGCAAATGACCCAGATACTTTACAGGGACAATTTCCGTAAACTTAGAATGCCTTGTTCAAGGAAATGAGACAGATGAAAGCGCCTCAGGAAGGCACCGCGACACGGCTTCCTTCCTTTTTAAGGAAGCGGGTATATAGCAGCAACGCAGGCACACCAAGAACAAAAGCCCAGTTGCATTTTGAATGGCGCTGAAGTTCGACTGTTGCATTTTGGTTGATTGGACAAGCTGATGTTGAGTTACAACACAAGAACACGATGGCTCTAAAGTGCAAAACCTTTGGAGTTTTCGAGAAGTGTAGTACGTCCAAGACAATCTTCCAATTGATCGCCTTGAAATAGATCGGAAATGGATGATTCTGACATGGTACGGAGCGGAAGAAACATAATTGTGTATAATTTTGGTGCCCCGCGGGGCCGTTCCGTGCCAGAACCCGTTGGGCCGCATGCGTCCTCCCGAGCATGGCTCGCGCTCAGATGGCCGCCATCGAGCAGCATTCAAAGGAATGCCCTGCCAGTCCCACCCGTGCGATGGGAGGCCACAGTGAGGGGAGAGTGGGGAACAGGCATGCAGAGGCGGAAGATTTTGGTAGATACGGCAGAGGACATGGAACACGTTATGTCTTGGAGGATTACTTTCCCGAAGACCGAACAGATTTGCTTTCCATTGACTGGCTCTTGTTGTTGGGCAACCAGTTTCACTCACTTTTCAGCGGGACAGCACCGTTCTGGAAAAGCACCGTAGGCCTAATGATGTTGCCTCCACTTCGGGTTCTCACGTTCACGCCCTGTTTCACAGCTCTACGCCTTCTCCAGATGGAGAAAGCAAGATCTCATGCTGAAAGCTTCTGATCGAAACATGATTTAGATGGATTTAGGATTTTCGCAAGATGCTAGAAGGGTTTTATGTCGCCGACCCACCGACAGAATGGCAGGGCCTGCCTTGCTGGCGACTCCAGAGCCTCCGGACGAAGACTTGATGGGGCGTTGCAGCCACTGCTTGGATCTTACTTCTGGGGGAAGCAAAGCCGTGCGCTTGGGGGTGTTGAACTCGCCATCAGACATGAGAACCAAATAGGTCCGTTCAACCATCTCGAAGGATGCTGGAGGAGTAGAGACCTTTGGAAATGGGATCTCACTTGATTTGTTGTGTTTCGGACTAGATCACGGTGAGGGACTGCAGGTTTCCCATGTGCACCCAAAGTCAAGCTATTCTGTACTCCGTTGTTGTCAAGGTGGAGAGTTTGTACGGCTGGCCATGCAATGTATGGAGTGCGGGTGCCCAGCGTGAATGCCGAGCCAATACTAGAGTGACTGTACCTGGAAATGTGAAGTCCTTTGTAGGGATTGGAGGGACCCTTTTTGAATGTGGTGTTCGCAATGCTTGAATTGCCGCAAGACAAGTGGTGCATTCCAGGCACTTGTCACTCACCCCAGAAACGTTACTGTCCATGGCATCCGAACGGATCGAGGCAGCATACATGTCGACAATCCATCGCTGATCAAAAAGCATAAGATCTTGTGCGCACGGGCCCCGAACTTGAGGGTCTACATATATAATCATATATATATAGAGATATATAGAGAGAGAGAGCGCGGGGGTGGGGTTGTGAAAGTTGTGATTTTGTAAGGTGGTTCTCTTTTTGCAGATGATATGACATTGATAGGGTTGTGAAAGTTGTTCTTTTGTAGGGTGTTGCTCTTTTGGGGGAATGATATCATATTGATAGGATTGTGAAACTTGTGATTTTCTTGCTCTATGTGCAGTTGGTAAGCATATTTGTTCATTCAACTATGAACTACAAAAATGTTTAAATCCATAAGGTTAGTTGTTTACTAAAAAGTGTTGGGATGTAATAATCTAATTCCACGCAGCCCCCATGTAAAACAATATGTCTTGCTTTTAAAGTGGGAATTGTATTGCTCTTATTGAATGCAATTGGGTAAATACATCAGAATCAGAAGACAAATAATTAGAATCCAAAATAACCAAATTCTATTTAAATATTTATGTAATTCAAATTTAATTTTATATTTAAATTTAAAATGTTTTCTATTTTAATTATGTAGTGATTCTATTTTATGTTAATATTATGTCATTGTAAATTCTAATTTATTTGGAATTTAATATATATTAAATTTTAATTTGATGATAAATTATTTTGATTGTTATTGTTATATAATATTAATAGCAATGGAACGATATTATAGTGTATATATGTATAATATAGTTTATATTTGTAATATTAATTTGGTTTTAAGATTCTCGTTGTGTAGACGAAAAGGGAAGGCTTTGTAGTATATGTGGAGATAATGGGTAGTTAATTTGATTTTGTATTAAGTTGATTAATATTTATACGTAGGTTATTAATCGTAGTCGTAAGGTTACGAATTTTGAGAGATTAATTTTGTAATAGAGATTTATAGTATTATATCGAATTTTGGAGGAAAGAATAGTTAATAATTTTTTTTTGCGGCTTTAGGAATGATATAATTATTATTTGATTTAATTAATTATACGAAATTTATTGAAATTATTCTTGGGATTATTATGCCGTTAATATTATAAATTTTAAGTAATGGAGCGGCCGTTCCATTGGATATAATAATTATTTGATTGAATCGAGGGAATAATTTTTATAAATGACGAAATGAAATATTGCAATAAATGCTTACTTATAAGAAATGATGTAAGAGGATGAAGGAACGACTATAAGGATTGAAGAATTTGAAAGGAAATTTAGATTCGTTGAATTAATGGTCGATTACATTTATACGAAGGATGAATAAAAAGCATATGAAAAGTATGAAGAGCATTTTCATTTTGATGATTAAAATGGAAAATATAACCAATGAAATGTAGGGTGTATTCGAATGCATTTAAGAGCAGAATCAAATTTTAGATTTACGATAAACGAATTTAACACCTTTCCGAAGAGAATAAGGTAATGATGACCGTTGCCGATAAGTTACAGGCGAGGATATTGATGTTCTAGGATGAGAATAGCAATATATTGGAGATAATTTAAATTGAAAGAAAGAAGCAATGGAGAATCGAAATGCGCTACATAATATTGACTAAACACTGATTAACAATATTATGAGAAGAGAATGATTGAATATTTACGAGGTTAATTGGCATTCGTTAAAGGGTTTGAAACGAGTATGATAGCAGAAATGGGCAATCTTGATTTGGAATAGAAGATAGAGATTCAAGCATATAAGTTGGAATTTAACGAGAAAAAAAGGCGAATATATATAATATTTGCAATATAAAGCAAGAATGATGGCGGAAGCTACGAAGACGTTGGAGGATGCCGCTAGCAACATACATATACGAGCTAAAGAGGAATAACGTCAGCTGAGAGAAGCGAATTCTGCCCTTAGCGAAGCGAATAAGGTATTGAAAAGGGAGAATCTGATTGGGGCATCACCAATTGATGGAAAGGAAAAGGTGATGTTCGAAGAGATCAAAGAGTTCGAGGAAAATCAAAAGTTAAAAGGGCCCGAAATTGCGCCTGAGCTGGTGTCTCGTTGCCTCCGTGCCTTCCCTAAGGAGACGGCCCCTGGTCCATGGGGCCTTCGCATCGTGTACCTCAAAGAAGCATGCGTGGCTGGGGGCAGCGAGGCGCTTATGACGCAGTTGACGGCAGTTGTCAGCTTGCTGAGTCAAGGTCGTGCGCCCGCCTTTGTTGCGTCTGTCTTGGCTAGGGCAGGCTTGGTGGCGCTCCCCAAACCCAATGGCAGAGTCCGGCCGATAGCAGTTGGGGAAATCCTACGGCGTCTTGCCGGGAAATATTTGATGAGCCTGGTGCGCGAGGATGCGCAATCCTATTTTTGGCCAGTGCAGGTCGGAGTTGCTGTTCCGGGAGGTGCCGAGAAAGCCATCCACACAGTGCGGGCCTGGCGCCGGCGGCACTGGAACTCTCCTCACAAAGTGGCCCTCAAATTGGATTTCAGCAATGTGTTCAATACGGTCAGTCGCGCTGTTGTGTTGTCAGCCGTATCGGACCTTTTTGCCTTCCTTGAGCCGGTGGGCAACGTGGTGCTACCAACGCCCCACCCGGCTGCAATTTGCCGATTGGGTGGTCGAGTCCAAAGCTGGGGTTCAACAAGGTGATCCTTTGGGGCCTCTGTTTTTCCCAGCAGCCATCCAACCCCTCGCCCAAGATCTTCGCAACACTGGCTTGGACCTTGCAGTGCACTATTTGGACGATGGAATCCTGGCGGGGGACGTGGCTGCGGTAAGCCAAGCGCTCCGCCTGGTTGAAGCCCGCGCGGCCAACATTGGTTTGATTTTGAATTTGGCGAAGAGTGAGCTAGTTGCAGTTGGGGCCGTTGACATCGCTGCTTTGCATTGCCACTTTCCTGACAGCCTGCTCCGCGACACAGGAGGGGCCAGCAAAGTGCAGCGCAATTTCGAGCTGTTAGGAGCCGCCATTGGGAATGATGCCTTTGTCCGTGCCTATACCGCTGAGAGGGCCGCCAGAGCTGGAGACCTTTTTGACTCTTTGGGGGAGATGGAGGATCCACAGGTCGCTTTGCGGCTCCTCCGAGCTTGTGCAGGATTGCTCGCATGCTTCACAGCATGCGTTGCAATCCCGTCGGCGCGCAGACCATGGCCTTAGACATGTTTGATGGCATGCTTCGCCGGAGCTTTGGGGACTTTACAGGTTTGCACCTTACGGCTGAGCAATGGATACAGGCATCGCTGGGGTTGGCTCAAGGGGGCCTTGGGCTTCGTTCCACCTCCAGGCACGCCGCTGCGACTTTCTTGGCATCGCGGGCGTCGACTCTGACATCTGCCGCCGAACTAGATGGCGGATTCTCCATCGACGAAGCAAAAGCTTGCCCAGATGTTTGCGCTGCCCTTGCCGCCTTCAATACCCACCTCCCACCAAGTCAAGCCATCGCTTTAGATGCTGCCTTAGCCCACAAACAAAAAGCTTTATCGACGATGCTGGACTCGGCGGCGTGGGATACGCAGCTGGCCCAGAGTGCCATTGCCGGACGGACGACGCTGCTTTCTGAAGCTTCTATTGGTGGCAGGGCTTTTCTCAATGCCCTGCCCAGCGGGCGAATGCAAATGGAACCGGTTGCTTTTCTATCTGAACTTCGTGTCCGATTGCAGGTCCCTGACGCCACCTCCGACACTTGGTGCCCCTTGCGCGACGCAGTCTTGGACCACCACAGCCACCACGCCGGGACGCACACAGCGGCACCACGCGGTCCGGGATCTGGTGCATGCCTGGTGTCAACGTGCTGGACTGCGCCCGGAACGGGAAAAACCTGGACTACTTCTCCCCACTGGCCCCGAAGACACGAGCAACAGCCAGGCTCGCCGCCCAGCTGATGTGTATTTGCCCACCTTTGCAGGGTCTCCTATTGCCTTCGATTTCGCCGTCACGGCGCCCTAGCGGCAGGAGACCCTCGCACAGGCGAGAGTGTGTGCACGGCTGCGGCAGCTGAAACCCACGCAAGACATAAGGAGCTGCACCTGCGCACTGCTCAAGCATGCGAGCAGCAAGGTGTCAAATTTGTCCCGATGGTAGCTGAGTGCACCGGAGCATGGGATCCAAGCACCTTGAAAGTTTTGAAATTTGTGGCTCATGCGGTTGCTGCCAAGATTGGCGAAGAGCCAGCAGCTTGCTACAACCAATTGTTGCAAGAACTCGGTGCTACCATTCGGTCCTTTCGGGCCCGCGCTGCGCTGCGGCGCCGTTTCGAAGCCACTTGAATCTGGCAGCCTGCTCTCCGATTCTCCGTGCGGTGAGTCGTTGGGTGCTTGACGGTATCCTTCACCCACGGGGCAATGACCAATGACCTGCGCGTGGGCCCGCTGTAGTCCCTATACCTTTCTTTTTCAATTTGCGGCTCCTTGCTGTTTTTCCCCTCCGGATGCCGATGCTTCTGCCCGTACGTGGCCAGCCGTCGGTGGCCCGGGGGCTTTGTGTTGCCAGCGGGTTCTATTTCTTTTTGCCGCTCGTCACGGTGGCTTCATTTCCAGTGCCAACGCAATTGGGGTTTTCCATTGCTGGAGACGTTACAACCTATGCCGGCCTTCTCCGTTTTCACCGTTTTGTACAGGCTGCCATTACACAGATTCACATGCGATCAATCTCTCCAGACACTCCTTGGATCCATGCTTGATGCCATTTGATGCCTATCACACCTCCGTGTGACCTTTGACATTGCTTAGCAAGTTTCTTCATGCCGCATGATGCCCCAAGTTTCCTTCTCTCACGTGCAGATACGTGCAGGTTGGTAATTTTATATAGAGGTCACCGAAGGAAAATTATCAGAAGCAAGGTCAGAAAATGCCAGATTAAAGGCAGAAATGCACCACAGATTCCCTAAAGATAAAAGTGGGAAGGGCGAGGGCTACATGCCTCTCGATCCCATGAAGAAGAGATGTCACGGCTAAAATGGAATCTGATATATAAGGAATATAAAGCAGAAAGACTGAGAAAGGCACGTGACGAGACATATGAATGGTATTTGGATGCCTACAAATATTATGAAGAGGGAATTGAAGAAAAGGAAGTAGTTGAAGAAGAAAATGTTGAGCTCAGGAATAGATTATTATAAATTGCATTCGCATCCTCATCCTCTCCGATATATGCAACAAAGGTCTCCAGAAAAGAGGAGTCCAAGGTGAATGTGCCACCATGGCCGAAAATCAATGATCTGGGGCAATAATCATTGTTGCTAATGACTCAGACTAACAACCGTGGATTGATTGGGTTAAAGAAACCATTGACGATCTTGATCCTGACAAATTGATTGCTTCAGGTGATCTAAGGGTCTATTCCATTGATGCAAAAATGGGGTTTGCATTGACCAAAATTATTCAGGATTCCAAAGAGGAAGGGAATAATGTAATTATGAAATTGAGAACGAGGATCAACGCAAAGGAGAGGACCTCTACCCTTATCAAAGGAAGAGAATTCCTAGCGTTAATATTTCTCAATTTCAAGATAATATCCAACATTGAGGCATTATACACATCGATGCATTTATATCAATTTGAATATACCAAGGCGATAGAAACCTATCGTTTTTCTTGCACACCTGGGATGAGATCTTGGCCGGAATGAAGCCTGCAGACATCCCCAATGATGATACTCTTCGTGATCTACTGTGCAGGAAAGTGAAGAACTCAAATTTGATGTCCTACGACCTTCACATGTACAACAGCCTCCACGAAGGAGATCTTAAGAAATCATATCAGACCGTTCGTGACATGATTCGAAGGCACATTGAAAGACAGACCAAGGACAAAATGCTTATGGAGAAGGAGAAGGCTGTCAAGAATGTGGCCAACATATTTCAGAATCTCAAGCCAGGTGGCCTAGCATCCAAGGCTAAGGCCACACCTGCTCCAAATGAATCGAAGAAGTCGAAACCCAAACCATCGGGAGCAGTGGGAGAGACTGAGGAAGCGACTCCTGTCAAACCAATCCCCAATCCAAAGAAGCATCCAGAAGACAAGAAGGGTAAAGGAAAAGGGGATGGAAAAGACAGAGGAAGGAGTACTAGTGTAAACAAGAAGAAGATTCAACCATGGGAAATGCAACCATGGGAAAGGATGTCCATTCAATCATAAAAGGACGAGGATTCCATCAAGGGGTGCATCTCCGAAAGGAGAAGGAAAGATTCCGTGCTAGAATTGGATTCGAGGGAATTTCCCTAAAGGTAAGGAATATAAATTCCATTATGATTCCAAGGCAGCGCCCAAGAAAGGCACATTTGCTGCGGCAGACTCAGGTGAAGATAAGCCCAAACCGAAACCTATTCCAAAACCGAAACCCAAGGGAAGACCAGGTGCACCGGCAGTAGAAGATTCATTCAATTTGGAAGAATCGGACGATGAAGGAAATGCAGCAAGTGTGAAGATGAATATTAACAAAGGGAAGAGAGTGTCATTTGACGATGATTTTTGAAAAATTTCTTTTTTTTTCGAGATTGTATATTCCGTCAAGGACATCTGGAAGCAAATGTTCAAGAAACCACTAAGGCCAGACATCAGAAGGTATGAAATAAGGGAGATCATTGATCATTCCCATCGTGAACAAATTCGCTTTGATGCAAAAGTGGACGAAGCGAGAGCCATCGTTATGACGCCCTATCTCAATATCAAGGAGGTATAAATTCCAATGGACCCAAATAAAGATATTTCGATCACGATGAGGTTTGACGAAGAGGAAGGCTTGGTGTTCCACCACAAGCTAATACCTCACGTTTGTGGCAAACATGGAATCAAAGGTGAAGTACAGACATTGTCAGTACCTGCAAAAGGGTCAAGAGCAAAATTCATCATGGATACAGGCTGTGGATACGATTTGATATCAAGAAATAAAGCGAAGAAATTGGACCTAGAGATTGAGAAGAATGTCTATCCCATGTCATTCTTCACAGCAAATGGCGTTACGAGCACAACTGACGTTGCCAAGATTCATTTTGACGAATTCGACTCCTAACACAGTCCCTATGTGTTGGACGAATCACCTTCAGTATTGTTAGTGGACAAGAAATGCATGGAGGAAGGATATTCCTTTGTGTGGCCAGCGAGTGGAGTATCATACATAATTTCTCCAGACAACAAGAAGATTATGCTTGAAGCTGAAGGCAACATCCCCTACATCGTGAAAGATAGCGATTTCTGTTCTACAATGGTTGATGAACAGATTGAGAATATCTCCAAAATGATTACAGGTTATATTGATGTAGGCTAGCAACCAGAGATTGTGGATTATGATATTGACCCTCAAGGACTCAATTGTGACATGGATGACCTGCCCTGTGTTCCCCAAAAGAGGAAACGAAGAAAGAGAAATAAGAAGGATCTATCAATTCCGGGAGAAGAAGGACGAGGAAAGGAACACGAAGATCCTGAAGTGATGGAAGAAGCAGTAGACGAAGATGATGTTGATGATCTCGAAGTCGATGTTATCGATGGCGCAAGCAGAATGGTGAGGAGGGGAATGTTAAAAGCGGAAGCAAAAGTAATCCAATATCTCCTCATTCATCGATACAAGACTCCATATTAAGAATCATATATTAGAGCCAAGATGAGGCACTACAAGACACACAGAGGAGCATTCAAAACGAAACTCAAGGCATTTGGAGACCTAGTCATTTTCGATTTCATTGATACGCAAAGAATTATGGACTAGGGAATCCTTACCGACCGAGAGATCTTTGTGATCCGAGACTGGTACACAGGAATCATTTGGGCATACCCTTCGGTAGAAAAGTTCATGTCTGATGCGATCACAGAAGTGAATCATTTCAAAGGGCTCAGAAAGATCAAGATCGCCTATGCAGATAAGGCTCCCGAATTTGAGGTGACAATGAAGAAATTGAAGATATCCTTTGATCCCTCGCTACCGCATCATCCACAGAACAATTCATTGGCGGAAGGAAACAATCAATTCATCATGACAACCACCACCCCATGCTTGTTGGAGGCAGGTTTACCACCATGCTTCTGGAATCACGCTGTGGAGTGTGTCAGTCATTTATTGAACATCGAAGGTGGTGAAGATGAGAAAAGCCCATGGTTCAAGTTTCATGGCAAGGAATTTCATGGTGAGAAGATACCGTTCGGTGCTAAGGTCTTTTTCATGCCCAATAATCAAGGAAGAATATTTCAGAAGGCGTTTACGACCCAAAGTCTGGCATTTGATGCGAAAAGACCCATTAGAAGATTGAACAAGCCAGAATTCACTTAGACGTTGGTATTCCAACAATACCGAATACGAGAGGATCAACAAGACCTTTCAAGGAATGAAGATCCGTGAATTGAGAGACGGTGAACCTAAGATCGATGATCCAAGGAAAGAAATCGAATACGAGGAAGGCGAATATCAACCCTCTGAAGCAGGTGTTCTCCATCACGGAGAGATCGCGGAGAGGGCCATCGATGATGATCTTGATGACGATCAACCTCTAGATTTTGGAGAAGATGAAGACGATGATCAAGATCACAAACCGGATGATGATTCGAAGAAGATTCTAATTACCAAGTCGAAGAAAGCTGAACCCCTAGTCGTATCGAGGGATGAACACGTGCCTGTCGGTGATCCATCAATGGACCACATGTCAAAGGGTACAGGAGATGGTATCATCTATCTCAACGATATTGGAGAGACAGTGAAGTTGGATGTCAAAGGACACCCTTACAAGGTTGGGAGTGATGGGAGGAGTTTCTTTCGATCATCACTAAGACCCAGATCGAAGTATAGAATGGAGAGCTCTGATTATACCCGACAGAATCGTTGCCGAAAAGAAGGAAGCACTTGAGAAAGAGCTTGAACGGAAGAAAAAGAAAGATGATGGTGCAGGATCGAACAAGGACAAGAAAGGAAAGAATAAAAATAAATCGAAGAAAAAGGGAGAGGAAAACGACGATCCTAAGGACATTTTACCTAGCATCCACTTCTCTAAAGATTATCAATTTGATTACGACGATAATATGGGGGAAAGAGCCCTTTATAGATGCGTCGATATTCTCGATTGAGTTGCCGAAGAGTAGGAAGAATGGATTGCTGTCGAAAATGGTCATGGGCTTCGTGCTACATGGGATTTTCTACATATATGTAATAGCACAAAAAACGAGGTGATAAATGATTCTGCAATAGAATTTAAAGGCACATCACATTCCATTCCCGTCAATGCCGTGCATTAATTTTATTCCTAATTATCGTCAGAAAGTTTAGTACGAAGGTCGACCGAATATTTCTTATGAATGCAGAAATCTATTTAATGCCGTAGTATCTAAATTAGTGAGTCGAATAGAGATGTTAAATAATTTAAAAGCCCGTGCATTAATGAGGCATAAATGGTTGGATTTATATAAACAAAATATGTTCGATTTCTTTAGGATACGAAAATTTTATGACGTAAATAAAATAGGAAGTATTTATGCTCAAGCAAATGGTACATTTCGCAAGAATTTTAAGTTATGAAAGAAGGAAATTCAAGGGTAAAGGAGTACTCCTAGGAAATAAGATCAAGAATTAGAATTAGGAAATTATATTCTTTCAAAATTTAGGCATTTTTCTAGCCTCCTTTGAATCTTTAAAATGAGAAGATTTCTACGGATGTATTCCAGATTATACGATTAAATTGGTAAATGCATGTTTAGGTACGTTTTATAGGGCCGCCCTGTTAGGAGATTCATTTTCAAATTGTATTATATATTGTTTTACGTAAATAGTGCAATAAATAAACAAATAATCAAATGGATAAGAAATTCGTTTCCTAACCTCTCCACAAGAATATTTGCAAATACTAATTTTACTAATTATAATAATATATTAAAATACATCTCCGAATTCCTAATGTATATGCAAAAATCGCATATTCGATTTCCCATTATAAATAATAACAAAATTCGAACTTATATAAACCATTCCATTTATCGCTACGAACAAAACATTCCGCAATTATAACATTCCTTCCATTACTTTAACAAACAATCATTAACAAAAATTCAAAAATTCTCTTTCATAATAACAACCAAAACATAATTAAAGTTGCCCAGACCCGACGAAATCCTATTATAAAATATTTAAAAATTTCATTATATTTCATTTCCAAAATAACGATTTAATTTTATTTTATATATATTTTTCAAAATGCATATTAATATCCATATAAACGCCGAATTTATATATTAGTTAATTTGTTTAATCCTTCGAATTTAAATTCTTTCCCATCGATTAATTACAAAAAAATTAACCATAAAATATTCCAAACAAAAATTAATAATATATCCAATTTTCCTTATAAAAAAGAAATATTCAAACATATTTAAGTAGCAAATATATTAATCCTAATTTTATATATTTATAATATAAAAAAATTAAAATAAATTCATAATATGCATATTAAAAGTATTCCGTATAATATCCAAATAATATAATTATTATAAATAAAATTTTACAATAAAATTCCAATTAATTCATTAGAATTATTAAAGTTATTCTTTTATTAAATATCGTATTAGAAAAACCGACATAATATATCCCTTTTGAATCATTTCGATTGCTAATCTGCAAAGCGTTGGACGTATGAATTAAGCTCATAGAATCGAATACGTGTTCGTTCTACATTTCTCCAAATCATGGAGATCGACATTGATTCCGTGGAATCGGAATTCGTAAATCACCTCGCTTCAATTTTCTCGATTCGCGGGTTTGCATCGCGTCGAATTCAGACTCCACATCCCAATGAATTCAGACTCCACAAATAATAATTGAACGAGCTAAGCTCAAGGCCGCTTTTGAACCCTTTAGCGCCTGACAATGTTGTTCATATGGGTCAAGTTGACTCATTAATTGCGCACACCCTCTTTGCGAGTTGGAGACTCCCGTCTGCGCCAACGCCGCTCTGGTTGCTTGTGATGGCGAAGTAAGGGTGATGAAGCTTGAACGAGCTTCTATGCATTCCAAGCAGCAGCCCATAGATTGACTGCAATTCAATCTGTATAATCAGGTTTAATCAAGCAAGACAGTTTCCAGTCACCGGAATGATGTCAGTAAGGTATCACATTTACCAACAGGTGAAGGGTGACAAAGGTATTACAGTGTGTCTGAATGATTCTCACTTCAAAGCAACCAAATCTTTTTCAGTAAACAACTTGGAGAAAACAAGCATCACCGACCCACCCTCCGAACTTCTCTACTCCCATGTGTCACTCTGCGCTAATCGGCTATATGTGGCAAGGTCTGAGTGCTGCTAGATGTGTGGGAGCTGATTTCTACGTACTGGTGAAAGCGTCCACTGCAAAGCGATTGGTTTCTCCTATCGATATCTTAGTCAGAACAGCAATTTGTAGAAACCACAACAACCACCTAAGCCAACAGCACACCACCCGGGGCACAACATCAATCAGGTTCCATACTATGCTTCAACAGGCCAAATTGAAATAGGATGCTGATCAATAACATCTTCAATATTCTTCAAGCAAGAGGGCTAAGCCATCGGAGAAGCTCCGATATTGAAACTGCGCCCTCTTCCTTTGCGCGAGCACATGTTTTGCCAGGCGCTAGGTGTTTCTGTTCATTCTGTCAATTACAATTGCTGAGCACAATAGAATAGATGGGTTTAGCGGTTGGCCGCTAAGCACTATTCACTATCGACAGCGTTTAGCCGACATCCCACGACGTGGACTGCTCTCATCCAACGAAGGGTTTAGAACCTGAATCCAAACAGAAGCAGCGGTTTCTTCATTTCAGGATACACCCTCAGGGTCGTCTCAATGATTTTTTATGTGAGAGCCGACATGTCCGACGACCGGTTTCGAAAGTGCTGGACGCATGCAACTGACTGGCAGAATCGAACACTTGCTGTTCGTACTGCCTGGCAGATTGCAACACGAAGAACGCCTGCCGACGTTTCCGGACTTCTTCTTTGGGGTCGGAATTCGCAAATCACCTCGCTTCAAGTTTCTCGATTCACGGGTTTGAATCTCGTTCTCACAATTCAGACTCCACATTCAAATGACCGAGCTAAGCTCAAGGCCGCTTTTGAATCAATTGGCACATGACAATGTTGCTCACATGGGTCAAGTTGCTTCTCTGATTGCGCAGCCCCTCTTTGCGAGTTGGAGACCCCCGTCTGCGCCAACGCCTCTCTGGTTGCTTGTGATGGCGAAGTAAGGGTGCTTCTATGCATTCCAGCAGCCCATAGATTTAATTCGATCTAATCAAGTTTAGTCAAGCAAGACAGTTTCCAGTCAAGGGAATGATGTCAGTAAAGGTATCATAGTTACCAACAGGTAAAGGATGATAAAGTTATTACTTAGCACAGTGTGTCGGAATGCTTTTCACGTCAAAGCCAAAGCAACCAAATCTTTTTCAGTAAACAACTTGGAGAAAACAAGCATCACCGACCCACCCTCTGAACTTCTCTACTCCCATGTGTCACTCTGCGCTAATCGGCTATGTGTGGCAGGGTCTGAGTGCTGCTAAATGTGTGTGGGCGCTGATTTCTACGTATTGGTGAAAGCGTCCACTGCAAAGCGATTTGGCTTCTCCTATCGATATCTTGGTCAGAACAGCAATTTGTAGAAACCACAACAACCACCTAAGCCAACAGCACACCACCCGGGGCACAACATCAATCAGGTTCCATATTACGCTTCAACAGGTTAAATTGAAATAGGATGCTGATCAATAACCTCCTCAATACTCTTCAAGCAAGAGGGCTAAGCCATCGGAGAAGCTCCGATATTGAAACTGCGCCCTCTTCCTTTGTGCGAGCACATGTTTTGCCAGGTGCTAGGTGTTTCTGTTCATTCTGTCAATTACAATTGCTGAGCACAATAGAATAGATAAATTTAGCGGTTGGCCGCTAAGCACTATCGACAGCGTTTAGCCGACATCCCACGACGTGGACTGCTCTCATCTAACGAAGGGTTTAGAACCTGAATCCAAACAGAAGCAGCGGTTTCTTCATTTCAGGATACACCCTCAGGGTCGTCTCAATGATTTTTTATCTGAGAGCCGACATGTCCGACGACCGGTTTCGAAAGTGCTGGACGCATGCAACTGACTGGCAGAATCGAACACTTGCTGTTCGTACTGCCTGGCAGATTGCAACACGAAGAACGCCTGCGGACGTTTCCGGACTTCTTCTTTGGAGTCGAGTCGGAATTCGCAAATCACCTCGCTTCAAGTTTCTCGATTCACGGGGTTGAAGCTCGTTCTCACATGAATTCTGACTCCACATTCAAATGACCGAGCTAAGCTCAAGGCCGCTTTTGAATCAATTGGCACATGACAATGTTGCTCACATGGGTCAAGTTGCTTCTCTGATTGCGCAGCCCCTCTTTGCGAGTTGGAGACCCCCGTCTGCGCCAATGCCGCTCTGGTTGCTTGTGATGGCGAAGTAAGGGTGCTTCTATGCATTCCAGCAGCCCATAGATTTAATTCGATCTAATCAAGTTTAGTCAAGCAAGACAGTTTCCAGTCAAGGGAATGATGTCAGTAAAGGTATCATAGTTACCAACAGGTAAAGGATGATAAAGTTATTATATACTTAGCACAGTGTGTCTGAATGTTTTTCACGTCAAAGCCAAAGCAACCAAATCTTTTTCAGTAAACAACTTGGAGAAAACAAGCATCACCGACCCACCCTCCGAACTTCTCTACTCCCATGTTTCACTCTGCGCTGATCGGCTATGTGTGGCAGGGTCTGAGTGCTGCTAAATGTGTGTGGGCGCTGATTTCTACGTATTGGTGAAAGCGTCCACTGCAAAGCGATTTGGCTTCTCCTATCGATATCTTAGTCAAAACAGCCATTTGTAGAAACCACAACAACCCCCAAAGCCAACAACACCCCACACCCAGGGCACAACATCAATCAGGTTCCATATTACGCTTCAACAGGTTAAATTGAAACAGGATGCTGATCAATAACATCTTCAATACTCTTCAAGCAAAAGGGCTAAGCCATCGGAGAAGCTCCGATATTGAAACTGCGCCCTCTTCCTTTGTGCGAGCACATGTCTTGCCAGGTGCTAGGTGTTTCTGTTCATTCTGTCAATTACAATTGCTGAGCACAATAGAATAGATAAATTTAGCGGTTGGCCGCTAAGCACTATCGACAGCGTTTAGCCGACATCCCACGACGTGGACTGCTCTCATCCAACGAAGGGTTTAGAACCTGAATCCAAACAGAAGCAGCGGTTTCTTCATTTCAGGATACACCCTCAGGGTCGTCTCAATGATTTTTTATCTGAGAGCCGACATGTCCGACGACCGGTTTCGAAAGTGCTGGACGCATGCAACTGACTGGCAGAATCGAACACTTGCTGTTCGTACTGCCTGGCAGATTGCAACACGAAGAACGCCTGCAACTTTGATGCGGTGTGGAGTTGAAAAACCAAAAGGGTCACCTCGCCATTGATGGGGTCAGTGAAAGCAATTCGTAGGGAGACCACTTCAAATCTTGTCCTCTTCAATTTGCAAATCTAACTCCTTGATATCCTCACGCAAAGCTTTGAGAGCCTTCTTCAGAACCTTGGGAAATTGGCCACTGGTGATCCTTGAGCCAATCAAACCGACCAATGCCGAGAGAGACATACGCCCACAGGCATAGCAGATCCTGCGAGGAGTTTTGGGGATACCTCAGTGGCTGCACGGAGCACGCGAGCTTGGTGTGGCATCCTCCTAGCTACTGTGACTTCAAAAGAGCAAGTTTCTGAGTCCAGAATGCTTGCTTTGGAAAGGGCCCCACATGTCGACCACCATTTTGAGAGGTAGCAAAAAGAGCACTATCAAAATGTATTCAAGCCACTCAAAGCCCCTATATAATAAATCAAGAGCTCGGACCTGCCTCTCCAACGTGACATGGAAGTGACGAGAGCATGGCATAAACCCCAGATAGCAAAGCGCACACAAACACCCTTTCCCTAAACTTGAAGTAAGAACCCCAAATAGCTTTCGCTATCTGGAGAAAAAAATTGATGATTGGGATTGATCCGCCCAGGATTCAAACCACCATCCAATCTGAAGAGTTGTTCAATCCACTGCGCCGGTGTTTAACCCACTCTCCAACCTAACTCTGAAGACTTCGCAGGGCTCCAATTCACCCCAGCAAGGCATGCGTCAGGGACACCCAGTGTTGAGGAGCCTTTCGAGCCTCTTCGGTTTGCACCATGGGCAGTGCCAGCATCTTTTCTAGAGGAAAGTGGGCCATGCCACGCACTTCCATTCGGTTCCAAAAGGGCGATCACACACATCACCCATCCATCCTGGCCCCGTGGGGTGGACTACACTTGAGCTCCTTCTACCAGGTTGCTGGGTTGGCCCCAGCTGCGAATAGCCAGCTCTCGTTCAACAAGCTCAAGAAGATCATTGGCTGCTGGAAGGTGTATCTTCTCCACCTTTTGTTGCAAACAGGGAAGCACCACTTCCTGAGCAGAGCGGAGGAGGCAACTAGCAGCAGGCAAAGCCCCACACTTGGAAAACAAGCAGCGTCCAGCAAGCGCTTGCATTGCTCGGTTTTGGAATCCAGCTTTTGCCAAACAACACCACGCAACACGCCGTGGATTGCCATGGGATTTCAGCTGAGGGCCAAGGCAAAGGCCTACATAACCATCTGAATGGGACAAATCAATGGCAGCTGTTCCATAGTTCACAGGCTCACAAGGGTATAGTCGGTGTAGTCTGGTTTTCCAGAGTGATCCCGGGGCTGAGCTTGTAGGAGGAAGGCAATGCCAACAAACTGAAACACTTTCGATCTGTTTTCTGAATGGAGGAATCCACCTATCTACCTCCTTCAACATCTGACAGACTTCCTCTCTAGATGTGCTATGGCCATGGCTCAAGAATGAGCATCGATACCTACCTACTCTTAAATTTGAGGAGCCATAGACCTATAAATATTCAACGCAGCAACACGATACAACACGTAACATATAACATATACATACCCTCAGACTCGGCAAAGGACAGCTGACGTGACTATGTTGATGCTCTGGCGTTCCCTTCCCCCAAAACCGGACTGCGTTTTTTCTCGTGTGGTCAGGGTCTGATTCTGTGAAGGCGCCGAGGGCAAAAGGACTGACATGTTATATAGGTATCAAGGCATCGAACCGAACCTGCACATTTCACACAGTCCACCTCCATGTTGGTTCAAGGCAAAACTACGAGAAATTGGACAGGGTGTCCCCACCATAGTTGGCAGTAGACGAGTACAATCATGAAATCAAAGCCATCCCAAATCTTCACTTAAGGCAGTGGATAGGTTGATGGTGACTCTGGATGGATGTTCAGTATTTGGTAATATGTATTACTATCTCTTGTCAGTGTCCCGTCGGAACTCGACCTTGTCCACAGCATCCGGAAGCCGTCGTGGGCCCGGTAGGCCCGGTGGGTGGTCAAAATGAGTTGGCCAATCGGCTTTGAACTCTATGTGTGCACCCTCTGTCTCCTTTAAGGTTCGTGGTGCCTCCGGACATCTCCGAGTTGGGCGAGACCGAGACATTCGGACGTGACTTGACGAGACGTGGCGTTAAGAGCCTCGGATCGGTGGAGATTCGGCCACGAACATCTGCTGGCCAAGGATCCAGCAACCTTTCTGCTGGCCATTTGTCCATGGCATCCCGCTGCTGCTTGTCCAAGCTTGCGGGTTTTTGTGTATGTTGACCATGGCAAAAGCCGCAGGCAGCACCCTGCGACGATGCCAATTGTTTGTGTTGGCTGAAGACTCGGACCTGTCGAAACCACGGCTTACCCAGACTTCAAGATGGTCTAAGCAAGTTCCATTTGTAACAAGGGGTTTGTAAGAAGGAGGCCAACGCCTGCCCGGTGAGGCACGATGTACTTCCAAATATAAGTGCCCACCCTGTTTTTGTCAAAAATGTCGAATGACCTGATTGACTTGTCGAGAAATATTACCAGCGTGTCTTCAACAGCGCATGGTCTTTGGCCTTCTGACAAGTTCCTCGAACAAACAGAATGCAGGGTCGGCGACATACTTCAGGATGTCCATAGCTCCCCTCCGATGCGCCTGGTGGGCGGTGGTTGGGAAGCAGGACTGGGGAACGCAAGCCTCAGCATTCTGAAGAATCAAGGATGTATCAAGTGGGTTTCCTGTCATTCCAAGTAATCAACTGTCGGTCGTGATATTCGTTGGAAAGCACTCGTTGGGCTGGGTCTGGGTGCAGTGACCGAGAATAACCACATCATCCCAGGACATGCAGAGTTCTGATAGTTCTGCAGGACTTGCCACCCGAACTAGGGTATATCCCACCAGGGCCCAGTGGATGATGATGATGGTTCGGTTGCGGGCCTTTCCCAAAAATAGTCATAGTATTTTACCGACGGTTACTGGCAATGGGATCCACCCTAATCTGCAGACGCAGAACACTAGCTAGACTCGAAGCTACGGTCCCTGGTGTTTTGAGCCATGCCAAGGCCATCTTTCTGCAAACGGCCCTCCCCCGCCGACACCACATTGGAAGCTTCCGGCCCGCAGTTCTGCCAGAGGTTACTTAATCATTCGGGGAACCAATCATTCAACCCGCAAGCAGGTTTGGAAGAACAACAACTGAACTAAGTGGTCAAGAAATTTCCTGCACGCTCCTTGGACCCTGGATGACCGTGATACTTTCACCCCAGCTCCAGCCAGCTCCCAGCTCCGGACAGCAAAGCTCCAGCCAGCACTGGCCCGGCGGCCTGGCTCGGCAACTTGGATCGTCACATTCTGCTCATCTTTAATCTTCTCCGATCGCTCCCGCAACGTGAGCACCTGACCGCACAAGTGGAGGAAAACAGGCCATACAGTAACAACTCTGACAACCATGGCATTGCTACATTGACCGGAGTCAAACCTAACACCTATAATGATGCTGAAGCATCGTATCTGCCACTCCGGATGGCGAACATGCTGAGCAAGTGCATCCACTGAGAAACCCAACTGGAGTGCTTTCGATGCCACTTTGGCAAAAGCATGCAAAAGCAAATCAAGGCACACTTCAAACGGTTTTGTTGAGAATTGCTCCGCAAAAAAGAAAATGCAATGGTCAAAACAATGTGCGCAAACGTCGTCTGAGATTTGCCAACATCCCTATTTCCGGGCGGCAGGAAGGGGCTGGACCGGATGGACCAGTACCACCCGCAAACAATAAACAAGTCTGTGTGTATTTATGTATATAATATCCGGCTTTTGAATCCACTGGCTCAACCTCAAAGCATAGGTCATGAGTCATAAATGGTTTCTGCACGTGGATTTTTCGGGGCCTGATACTGGCTCCGCCACTCGCTCCACTTGGTACGTTCAACAAGATCCGGGCAGCTACGAAATCGAGGCAATCGGGGCATCTCATCTTCTTCGTCGATGAAGGTGCGCTGAAGACAAAGCTTAGGCATGAGCTGTGTTGATTGTTGGTTCCAAGGGTTTGGCTTAGCACTCGCCAAGCTTGAGCCAGGTAAGAGACAGAATCACAAGCATGGAACGGACATCTGCACAAGCACTGCCATCTGCACATCAGCTGCACTGCTGTAATGATTCATCATCCTTTTCAACCACTGAAGATAGCCCCAGCTGTTATTTTTAAGGCACCACGGCCAAGCAAAAAATTAGAAGCCCCAACCCAGTACCAAAAGCGCTGTGCGCCGGAACCTGTTCATTTCGATGAATCTGTCCTCCCCTCCTTCCGCACAACTTGCCGCTCCAATATTCGTTCATAGCTCTCCTCCCGTCCCAAGCAGCCTTTCCCACTCCTTTTGGCTATGTTGGGCGACATGAGGACATGTCACATTATGGCCATGCAAGTCTGGCACTAACAAGACACTTGCAGTGGTCTGTCATATCAACTCGGGACCCAAAGCTCACGTACCTGCGAGACAACGTGGCGACCTTTAATTCCCACTGGGCCCGGTTGTAGCTACCAGGCTTTGCACCTGTTATGCACTCGGCAGTACTGCACGGTTTTCGTTTTCTGCCTTGTACATTTGGACTTTGAGACTTGGAACTTCAGGCCTTTGGAGGTTCATGGTCAATGGTTTTAGCGCTTTACATACAATCACCCCTTGTTTCGTAGGTGTTTCACTTAGGTTGGCCTGTGGCAAACCGCAGTCAGTTCGTACGCATCACTTCCCGAGTGTGTGCTGTGTAAGTGCAAGCGCTTCATGTCTTCTGATGGCAAGCATCAGAGCGCAGCTCCACGTGGGGTGTGTGTGTGTGTGCCCCTTGTAGTCACGGGGATCCTCTTGGATTGTTTCTGATTGTTTTTTTAAAGCAGGGGGACTGGAGCCGATTTGCCTACCAGTCCAACGAAGCTATGGCATTTCGGTGGATGAGTGGTCTGATCAACCACTTGTACCTGCTCCGTGATGACTTCTCATTTCCTGAACAAGATGACCAGCCTTTGCATCGGTTCATCATCGGCAGATGTGCATTGTCGCTTTGGATGTGTCGATTTGGAGTTGGAGGCCATGTAGGCTTTGAGAGGCTTGGAACCCCATACTTTACCTGTCCTGGTTTCTGAGGTTTTTACTTAGGCTGGCGTGTGGCGTGTGGCACCGCTTTCAGTTCAGTACACAACATCACAAGTGTGTCTGGCTTCATGCCAGCCCGCGATGAGCCCGCAGAGTGCCTCCCTGTCGAACGTATCCCTGCCCGGATACAGAGCTAGGCCGAGAGAACTCAGATTTAAGTCCACATTGGGAATTCTCATGCCTTTACGCGACCGTAGCGGTCAAAGCTGCCCGCCATTTTGGCACGGCGCACGTGGTCGCAGCGACCAAAGCTTGCTCAAGGTTCATTGGAACCTGTCCCATTCTTAGGTGCACACACAGCGTATACACGCAAACGAGGCGAGGTCTTCCTGGGTGTTTCTAATGAGGTTCGGCTTCACCGGTTCTCGTCCCCCTTTTCATCCTTTTCCCCTACTACACACCTTTGGTTTCCTCTTTTCTTTCATGTCTTTGTGTCTTCATGTCTGGTCATCTCATCCTTTTCGTCGTTTGCGCGCACATTGGTCCCGGCCTCAGTGTGTACGTGCACTTCTACATACATTTTTAACATAAGTTTCACGTCGCCCAGGTCTTTACAATGAGGTGGGGTTCCTCGATTGTCCCTGCGCACTTGGTTTCTCTTTGATTGCAGCCACACACCTTTTTGTCCCGTCTTGTCCTCCTTCTCATGTCTTCACCCTTTTGTCTTTGCCGCGCGCACATTTACACAACCGTCCTAGCCTTAATTCTTTTTGTCTCCCCTCGGAGAGGCGTGTGTGTGTGTGCGCCCCTTGTAGTCACAGGGATCCTCTTGGATTGTTTCTGATTGTTTTTCTTTTAAAGCAGGGGGACTGGAGCCGATTTGCCTATCCAGTCCAACGAAGCTATGGCATTTCGGTGGATGAGTGGTCTGATCAACCACTTGTACCTGCTCCGTGATGACTTCTCATTTCCTATTGGGCCCCGTTGTAACTAGAACAAGATGACCAGCCTTTGCATCGGTTCATCATCGGCAGACGTGCATTGTCGCTTTGGATGTGTCGATTTGGAGTTGGAGGCCATGTAGGCTTTGAGAGGTTTGGAACCCCATACTTTACCTGTCCAGGTTTCTTAGGTTTTTACTTAGGCTGGCGTGTGGCACCGCTTTCAGTTCAGTACGCAACATCATAAGTGTGTGTGCGTGTGTTGCTGTCATAGGACGTTCAAGTTAAAGCTTCGGGGATCGAGACTGCCTCGATGTAGTGGTTTAAGTTGATTGAAGGACCTGGAAGCCGCCACGGGCCATGGGCAGACAAAAGATGTTGCGCAGCACAAAATACGGCACAACTCCCTGCTACACGGAGCCATCGATCCACCGCTGCGTCTGGACATTGACGATCTGGAATTACTCTTTTTGCTGTCACGGCAGACCTTCTGCCACGTGCAGCCATTGCTCCGGAGCTGCGCTGGACAACAGCAGGAGGTTCTACTGGAACACACATGGTGACGTGGCATGAGCAATCTGTCCCGCTGTACACCACTCTCAGATCTCTCAGCTTCGGGACGAGTCCACCTCGTTTGCATCACTGATTGTTTCATCCGCGTGACACGGATGGCCTTTTGGTCTGCGACATTGCAATATCAGGCTTGATCCAAAGGAATCATAACTTCAATCTCCTACGTTCAATCCATGGCACTGTCATCTGCCCATCCCAACTACCCCCCCGCTCTCCTCTCTCTGCATGCGAACAAGGCCATGCCTGCACCAGTCTAGTGCTCTGTTCGGCGAGCAGGTAAGAGGGCGAACCAGGAGATCCCCAGGCTAGAAAAATATGACCAAAATAAACAGCGTTCAAAGCGCCTGGCTCTGGCGGGGCTTCAAAATCTGCTTGAGGCTGGCCCTGCACACACTAACCCGGTCAAAGGTGCGTATCATCTAGCCCTCAATCATCCTTCGTCCCACTGTCAAGCTGCACTCACGCTGCAAAATCGCACCTTCACTTTTGGCAAAGCTGAGCCCGATCAGTGGGCATCCTCTGCGTTTTGCAGGAATCTCAGGAACTGGATCGTCAGCGAAACAGAAAACGGCTCGAAGGAGGAAATTCATGTTTCGGCGGAGGAACAGGCCGCCGGAAGAGGTTTCTGCTTCACCACGACCCCTTTTGAAAGCGACCAATTACCAGCCATCTCGGGCGCGTCGCTGTGGCCCCAGTGCACCGGAAGCTCAAGCTGCGAAGGGATTGTCCGAGCACAGCCTGAGAAAACCTGTCAGAAGCACCAGGCCAAAACCAACGGGCTTTCTGATCCACAAAAATAAGCAATAAAAAGCAGCGGCCGAGCCCACCGCGCCAGCCTCCGCGTCGGGCGCGTGGGGCGCGTGCCGGACCAGGTCACTCTTATTGGCAAACTGGCTCCGAAGTGTGTTTGGAGGTGCGCTCACAAAAATTCGACACCAAATGCCGCGCAAATATCACAAAGTGTTCAGGTCCCAAAACCCCGAATCATCAAGCAGCTCAGGTTCTCCTTCTTGCGCAGCACATCTCAGCTGCTCACATTGATCCCAGTGACCGTGGGTTTCCGGTCGTTGGCCAAGCCCTTCGACGGGTTGCGTCGTCCAAGCAGGGGGGCTGACGATATCTGGAGTTGCGCGGGCACCAACTTCCCTGCATTAGTGGCGCCCAAAGCAAAGCCGTGGCCCTGGCAAGGCTGAAACGTGGCCCATGGACGTAAAAAAATCACAAGAAATTTCAAGAATGCACAACAAGTCATGATGATGCGGAGTGGACACACATCTCTCTCTCTCTCTCTCTCTCTTTCGCGCGTGCAAAATGCCGAGCTGCTGTTGCACGCGCTACATTCAGCGATCTTGACCCAAGTCGCCTGTTGGTCGGAATCTCCCAGGCGATTATCGGTGATTGGCCCTTTATCAGACCAGGCGCTGTGATACAACAAACCTTGTGGTGTTGCTCTCTGTCTGAACCTTTTCAGTTTCTGCCTTCTGATCATCATCTTCTGTCGCCATCATCTGCTTGGGCGCCCTCGACACCTCTTAGGATCTTGGCATGACCTGTTGCCCCTCCACTCAATGACTAGCTTGATTTCCAACTCACGATTGGCTTGACTGGGTCTTTCGATCAGAGCTGCCAAGTGCACAAACGGCCACGTTCTTGCATGGAAGTATACACTAGTGACTAGTGTAAACCCTTGAGGACCGTCAGGTTGTCAAGCTTGCCCTGTGGTAAAAGCAAGGCGAAGGAAGGAAGGAAAGAAGGAAGGAAGGAAGGAAGCTGGCCGCTTGCTTGCATTTGCTGCTGCATTCAGCGATGGAGCTGTAGTACTTACATGAACATGTGTATACTATAAGGGACAGGCAGTTAGAATAGCTCTAAATAATTATAATGCAGTTAGAATTTGAAAATTTTAATTATTTTGGAGCATTGCAGTAAGAATACGCCGCCACAGTTAGAATATGCAAGAGACCACAAGTGATCCTGTCAACTTGATCCTCCTAAAGAATGAAAGATTGCAGCTAAAAGGAGTAACTAGAAACCAACAAGTTTTCCTTGGAATGCTCAAGACCACAACGTGTCATACAGTGCAGTGTGCTGTACAGTATCCTATGATCCTATGTCATAACAACGGAAAGACTGTGAAATATTCTATCTGCACTGTTCTTGAGTCCCCACAAAGGAGAAATAAAAGGAGACTACAGCACTGCAAAGAAAGTCAGCAGGCACACACAGCAACTGCACCTTTTCCCTTTCCCCGTGCTGCTGCGTTTGTAGTACTGTACGGTACCCCTGTGGCAAATCAATCCGCATGGCCAGGCTCTTCTTGCCTGAGCCTTTGGATCCGTGCAAGTTGATGCTTCACCAACTTTTCCTTCGGGTTGGTGGCAAGAAATGATTGCAACATGAGTTCGAAGACACGCAGGAGAGCCTGCCACGCGTCTCGACCGGACGTTGGATTGAAGCTTCTGCTGAAATAGGGAGACCCTGTGCTTGCCGATCTCCATACTTTAGCAGCCGGGTGTATGCCCAGCCAACAGCCAGGCGGTCTCACAGCCAATCCTAGTTCTGCCAGCCGTTGGAATTCTGGCTGCTTTTCGACTGCCCTCACCCGAGTAAAGGTGCCAAAGGCCTTTGCAAGAAGCTCTGGTGGCTCTTCTTCCTCGGACCCATCAGACCCCTCAGAGTCTTCAAGAAGAAGCCACTTGTTCATGTCCGGGTCACGCTCATCATCACCATCATTGAATTCATCATGCAGGAAAGCGTCAGCATCACCATGTACGGGTTCATCTACAAGTTGAGGTTCATCATCATGCTCTTCAGGCGGAAGATCTCCTGGCTTTGACTCATATTCTATCTGCAATTTTTTTTGTATGCCTTCCATGGAAGTATACAATACAATACACATACCAATGGTACCGTGAAAGTGCATCTTTATTGTTGTGCTTCTCGCTAATGCTAATGTGAAGCAGGACTGCAAAAAGCAAGAATCCGCCCTTCTGAAGGAAAGTTTGCTGCACAACAAGCAGCAGACGCCCTCCACCCAGTCCTGTGAATTGGTCAACCTCAGGAGGAATGCAATCGCCAGCAGGAAGCACGCCCTCCATCATCTTGAGCTGCCACAACTTGCCATCACCGGCTTGGATGGCCAAGCCCTCAGCAGTCTCACTCATGTGGATCGTAATCATCAAGCAACTCTTCTTGAGTTGTGAGATCGGCTTGTTGTTGAAGTTCACCACCTGACCATGTGTTTTTTTGTTGAGCACTATGGTTTTGCTCTTGGTAGCACTCCACTCGTCAAAAGCTTCCTGCATCTTGGGAGCTAAACCGCTCCGTCCTTCTGCTAGCCGCTTTGCCTTCTTATCTTCCCAACGTCTGGATTCCTCCTGCCAAAGCAGAATGGCCCGGTCAATTGGATGCCGGAACCAACCTGGCAAAAAGATTGGCTTGGACTCAGCATTGGATGGGTCAGCAATGGCCCATGCACTTGTGACCTCTCCATCCATGATTGGCTCAGCTTGGATGACTTGTGACTTTTCTTCAGAGCAGTCAACATCCGGAACCTCCTCCAGATCACAGAGCTCAGCCAAAGCACCTGGCGTGGCTTGCAAAGCGGACTTCGCGTGCTCAACATTGCCTTGGAAGTTCCACTCTGCTTGCTGCTCAATGGTTGTCAGGCCACGTGAAAGCCAACTCCACATCAAAATCTTGCCCCCCTGGTATTCCTGGATCTTTTTCAATGCCCATGCATCAGCACGCAAGCTGTCTTCAATGCTGAGCCTTGGATGAGACATGGTGTTTAAGACAAAGACCATTTTCATACGTTTTCTATTTGAATGGCAATGAGCCAAAAAACAGAAACCACACCCGCCGCCAATGTGAACCCCAACTAATGCAAAATATTTTGTAATCAAACAGCCTGAGCGCGTAAACCTTGAGTTCCCGTCGACTGAAATCCCAAATTCGACTGCATCTTGCACTGCTTGTATGCTCTCCTCTGACGCATTCTCTGGTAGACTTTGGTCATGAACTTGTAGGAGTTGGGGTCCAAGCGATGTGCGGACATCATCTCGAAGCGCTTCAAGTTGAGAATTCCATTCTTGCACTGCATGTAGCAAGACGTCCTGGGCAAAGTCAAACCCGACCTCCTCACCAAGCTGGATTCTTTCCAAAAGTAGCTCTTCAACAGCAAGAGCCAGAGGATCTGGAATTTTGTGAGTTCCCTCTGCCGCCTTGAACTTGGAATTGGTGTGCTTGAGCGGTACTCCTAGCAAACTGCGAATACTGTTTGGTATTTCTGTCATCACTTTGGCCTGCTTCGGAGCGATCTCGCAGAACAAATCCCACTTGTGAAGCTTCCTCTTGCGACCCCACTTGCTCGCTGCAAAGCAGCCCTGAAGTATCTACAAACAGGTCGTTCGATTCATTCTGCAAAGCGCCCTTACTCACAGCTTCTTCCACAAGGCGGGCAGCATTCCCCTGCAAAGGTGTTTTTGGCAAATCCCTCAGAAATACCGCATCATGATCAAACTGACCGTCGCCCGACATATCCATCAATGTGGTTGACATTCTTTGATGGAAACCTTTGGCTGATTGCCCTTCATCCAGGTCAGCTGTGCCATAAATTCTGGTACGACGTTGTGGCAGCAAATAGCGGTTTGCAACAAGCTTCGAGTATTGGAACACATACCCGAGATTCTTGAAGTCAGAAGTCACGACCTACCAAACTTGTGAGGGCACTGGTGTGAATCGGTTTCCAAGTGCAATTAGAATATCTAACCAGTCCTGGTTATATAGATCCTATCTACAGTACAGTACATTAATAGTGCACAGTGCAATAGCATACTGTAAACATATTGTACTAGAAACACACTGTTTAAATTGTTTTTTGGAAGGCACCGCCTCAATCTGAGGTTGCAAGAGTTGCCCGTTCTCATCTTTGGGTCTGTCCAAGAGACCTGTAACATTCTCGAAAATCACTACTGCTGGACAGGTTCTTGCAACAGCTTCCTTGACTCCGTATTCGTAGGTGAAACCACTGCAACCACTTCCATCCTCGTAGCCTTAGATGCAAGTGTCATCAGATTGGGACAGCTAAGTGCAGAACAGAGTATTGCCATCCATTCATCCAACCATCGAGTATTGCCATCACCTACCAACCTTATGTGGGCACTGGTGTGAATGTGTTTCCAAGTGCAGATAGAATATACTAACAGTTCCGGTTATATATATATATAAAAATCTATCTACTGTACTGTACTGTACTGTAAAATTATAATACTCGACAGCACAATATATGTACTGTAATAGACACACTAGATACAGCAACCCACTTCACCAACCCGTTTGGTTTGTATAGAACAGTACAATATACGCGGGTTCAATTCCTGCAGAAAACTTTTTGAGCTCGGCCAAAGATTCATGACAGGTAATCAGACCGTCGACGGTTCTCTTTGCTGATGTTCTTGCAAGAAGGCCCAGAAACAAGCACATCCGTAGCAGTTGGAATTGCATGTGACTGTTGGCAAACATCGCAGAAAGACTCACCACCATCTCTAAAGACTGCCACATCATGGAAGAGATGAAAGCCACTATCTCCATGTGCGTCCATGATGAACTCCCGCTTCTGCTTCTCGAACTCAACACTGAAAAGATGAACCACCTCAATAGACACCTGAGGTCGTCTGCTTCTCGATCCCCGTTTCCAAACCAAGGCCCTGCAAAAAAAGCGATGCTAACAGCTCTCGGTACAGTACTACAGAGTTGAACACAATGGTTGGCACTACAGTACATTAGCTATGGAGCTATGGCACATTGAACAGCTTGCAAAGCACTGAGATGGTTTGCTTCATCACCGGCACAATGATATCAGTGCCACTGCAGGTGCTTCCAAAGGTCAGTCGCTTGCCATGTAGACTTTGTAGGTTTTCTCGTAAAAGCTGCCTGTCTCTAACTGACAGTCGGCCCACAAAATACTCAGCGGATGACTTCAACGTCAATGCTTGCAGAGATGGTGCTGCACTCCTAAAATCACGTGCACTTACATACGCCGTTCGCCCTGCCCCTGTTTCCACCACCATAGAATCACTGAACCTGTCAATCTCCGTGATCGTCCATTCAAAGAGGCTGTTCCCTGAAGTGATACCTGCAGTTTTTCTTGGAGACCTTTTCAAAGAATACCGGATACCGGATGTCAAAGGCGACTGTGATTTGAAAGGCTAAGAGAAAGTGCAGTTAGAATATTGGGAGGCCCATGGTGAGCTAACCTATGTTGCACTACAGTGTCAGTACTGTACTGGTTTTGTATGCATATAGCACCAAAGCTTGCAATTTTCCCGGACAGGGGAAGCCAAATTGGCAAATTGCCAACCAAAGCTACAGCACAGTAAAGAAAGCTGCAAAGATACGAAACCACACCAAACTATACTGTAGATCAAACTAGCCACGGTTTCTCCAGGTGTTCTTCTGCAGGTGGCCTGCAGCTTGGAACGGTCGGCATGAGCGTAGTTGAACAAAGCTGCTCACAGGTGAAATCACGGAAAGCTTGGCAGTAGCAATGATTAAGCCACTGGCGGTGTCAACAATGCACGCCTTCGCAGATTCTGTTCTCATTGCTTTCTTTGGCTGCCAAGCAAAAATCCAAGAACCAAGAGAAATGAATTGCTCCAGGTATTCTGTGGCAAGTCTCACAACAACGAATTGCTCATTTGCTGATGCGGTTGCGCCACTTGTTTGCTCTTCCATTGCTGAAGTTGCTGCTGGCTGTTCACCCTGTTGCACTGCTTCTGGAAGGTGTGGCTCTGCTTGCT